AAGTTTGTCTAAGCTTGATCCTGGTAGAGTGCAGCTAGTTTTTCTAAATGGTTATACTCTTGGAGATGCACTTTGCCTTCTCAACCTAAATGGCTAATGGATTATTTTAAAGGGCATTCATTCATTTGTCCTGAACATAGAAGTAATATATGCACAGTCTAGAAAACTGAAATGTACATGAAGCCAAGTGTTTGAGTGGATAAAATCTTAGAGTCTCTTTTATTGAGATAACTACCGTTTTTGATTGCTGGAGGGAGAGGGATTACTAATTCATAGCTGGAGCAATTTTGATTTGGCTTCTTCATCAGAAAGAGTGTAAAGTAAGTACTTACCTAGAGTTTTTGACAAAGACTTGAAGTCTCTATGGATCTGACTGTAGATACTGGAATTAAAGATATTGTGTTCAACTTAGTAAAACTGGATGTATTTTGAGGTGGACAGCTATATGATTGATGCAATCTAACAGATTTTGAGAAACATACTGTTGGCTATTATGATTTTTGTCTACTGAAAGAAATGAATCATTCATCCCAGTCATCCTGGGGCTTGAAATGAGAGTACCTCAGGTAGGGAATTTAGGGGCAGGGTCCACTGGTGAGTGGCCACTTTCTGTAGCAGCAAAAGTCACTTTTCAAATTCTACTTTTATTATTCTCAATCACTTGTAAAGTTTTATTTAACCCCACATTCTGGTCTCAGCTTCTGGTGGATTGGAAAGGTAAGGAACTGAAAACATTCTTGGAGTGAAAAGGTGAAGGGCAGAGAAACCACCCAGAGCAGCCACTAATGTGAGGGGTCAACGTGACTGGGGAGATTAGGAATGTGGGATATTTCCTACTTTCCTCACCCTTGACACTGGGTTTTATCAAGCTTTCTAATTTTTGCTCATTGGGTTGGTGCAAAACAACATTTTACTATTCTTTCTCACATATTTCTTTAATTACTAATGAGGTTGTACATCTGAATATCTTTTCAGATAATTGATTGGCTGTTTGTACTTACATTTTCTATAAACTTTTGATATACACGGTTGACCCCTGAACAAAGCAGGGGTTAGGGGCACCAACCTTAGCCCAGCTGAAAATCTGTGCATGACTTTTGACTCCCTAAAAGATTAGTTGTCCCTTAGTATTGCAGGGATTGGCTGCAGGACCTCCCTCAATACGAAAACCCAAGGATGCTCAAGCCCCCTGTATAAAATGGTGTCGATGAATGCATGCAGCTGTCCCTCTGCGTCTGCAGAGTTTCAAGGGAGGATAGAGAAAAGTACAGGTATTTAATGAAAACAATCCACATGTAAGCAGACCCATGCAGTTAAAATTTGTGTTGTTCAAGGTTCAACTATATAATATCCATTTTTCTATTGCATTGTGGATCTTTTCCTTTTTTAAAATTTGTATGAGTTGTTTTTGGAGGGGACATGAATTCTTTTTAAATGAAAATAAATTAGCCCTTGTGTCTCAAATGCAGTGCACATATGCTTTCCAATATTTGTTGTTGGTCTTTCAACTTTATTGTATGTATTTTTTCTATTAAAAGCTTTAAATTGAAATGTAGTCATTTTTATCACTCTTATTTTTTAGCTTTTAGGTTTTTTGTCCTGTGCTTTGAAGCCTTCTTCAACCATGTTTTAACACCATTTAAAAATATTTCTTCTTTTCCTTACTGAATTGAAATGCCACTCCTATTAAAATTCATATATGTATTTAAGCCTCTTTCTCAACTATTTTCCTTCAGTGTTTCAGTTTTCCTCTAGAACCAAACAATTTTAATTACTATAGCTTTATTATAGGTTTAATGTCCTGTGAGGCAGATGCTCCCTCTTCCTTTTGGGTATTTTCCTGGCTATTCTTACATTTTCATTCTTAAGGTGAAGATTTATTGACAGCCCTCCCCCCAAAAAAATCCTGATGATATTGAACTTACAGACTTGTTTAGGTGAAACTGGTATCTTCACAACCAGGATTCTTTTTGTTTTAAGAGCACAAGTTTTTCTGTCGAGGTTTTACAGGTCAACCTTGCCGTGTTCTCCAGATTCTTCTTTCCTGGGTGGTTCCAGGTTGGAGTTCACCAAATGAGAGATTTGTGTGAGATTTGCAAGGCAGGTGTGAAGCAGCAGCTATAACCTCTAAAGGTTGTCATGGGGAGAGGTGACGAGAGGCCGATGTAGAGGTACAAGTGGGTTCCAGTGAGTTCTCGCTCTTCCTTTCTCCATGTCCTGCGTTTCTCCCAGACTCTGACCAAGGCCGAGCCAGCCCCACTGACTGTTACTTCACTGGGAGTTCACCATGGTGGTAGCTTTACAGAGGCAATACTCTTCCTAGGCTCACGTGGTTACCACTTTTTATAGCTTTGCTTCCTGATTCTCCTGAAAGCTTGGACTTCACCATCTGGGCCATGGCTTTGGGAAACTGGTGACTTCTCTGATCCTGAATTTCTTCATTTTGGACTTTTACTTCCCCAACTCTTGCCACAATTGAGTAAGGTCTAATTCTGTAATTAATTTCTTTTTTTCAAAGCACTCATAGTGGCCCTTCTTGCCTTGGGGAGCCTGGTGGATACCCTGTCCATTCACTTAGCTCTTCTTTCATTTCTTACTATAGTGTTAATGTTTTCTTCATATAGATTCTACACACTTTTTTTAGTGTTTATTCTTAGGCATTTGATCTTCCTTCTTGTATTTTTTTTTGTGAATGGAATTTTCCTTCCATGATATTTTCTAAGTGGATCCTATCTCAGGGCCTTTGCACTTGCTGTCCCTGCTGCGGGATACTGTCATCTACCAGGTGTTTCCATGGCTTGCTCCATCACTCCCTTGAGATCTTTACATTGTGTCATCTTTTCAATGAGTTCTTCCCTGGCCACTTTATATAAGATTACCATTTCTCATATACCATATACGCTCCTTCCTTGCTTTATTTTTACCCTTGACAATAATCACCATTTAGCATACCATACATTTTACTTATTTCTCTTAGATGTTGTCTGTCTTTCCTCACCACAGTGTAAACTCTATAAGGGTACAGATTTGTATCTGGTTTGTTTACTCCTATATCCCAAATGTCTAGAATGTTGCATGACAAATAATGGTAATTGTTAAATATTTTCTGAATAAACAAAAATACAGAAAGTTGTTGGTTTGAAAAATAATTTGTGACTCATCACCTTACTTATTTTATTATTGTTTCCAGTATTATATGAGTTTCCTTATGTTTTCAAGTCTGCAAACTCATATCATTTATAAATAATAATTTTGACACTTCCTTTCTAATACTTATACCCCATTTATTTTTATTATCTAATTGCCTTTATTAGTTTGTGATGATGTTAAGTGATCTTGGCAATAATGAACACCATTCCCCTCCTCTCCCCAGATTTTAATGTTTTTCCATTAAAATCTTTTGGATCAAGGTCAGTAATCCTAGACTTTTTCTATTTGGATCTAATTTGTTTAAAAGGTAAATATTTTTAATACTTACAGTTACTTATAAGTTGGTCACTGATGGAATGCATGGATTTTATTCCCAAAGTGTTATTGTTAACTCAGCTTTCTGGGATTCCAGAATTAGTTTTTCCAAGCAAGCAATAATGACGAGGTTCCCTAGCTAATTCATACCCCATAATGCATCAAGTGTGGTATTGCCTTCAAAGTGAGGCATCAAGGCCCATTTCCCCCATGAAATTTCTCATACACAGAAACGAGTGTTTCATTCACTTCATCGCCATGGTCCCTACTGTCAAAATTCGTGGCACCAACACAACACACTGTGGAAGACTGATTTGTGTTCTAGAGTGCCTCTTTCCTGCCAGAGACTTAGCCTGAGTTCACAAACTCAAATGAGCTGGAAGGGACATGCAGACCATATAAATGTTTGAAAATTGACCGAGTGGGTCACGTAATAGGCAGTGGTGGGGACTAATGGGGAACCTGAGAGCCTGTTAGAGGGGCACAGATAGCAGCTGCTGGGGGAAATGAACCTAGTATTGCCAGATGTTCTGATTTTTAAATGAGGGTGGACATCCTAACCTTTATGGAATATCTCCCATTTCTTTTAAACAGTGGGTGTATTGTTCAGCCCTGGCAGGGAGTACATGGCACATTCAAACTGTGTGATTAACAGACAAAGGAATTGTTTAAGAGGTGTGAGCTGGTTTTGCTCACCCATCAACAAACAGTGCAGTGCCTTGGGGCTAGCAACAGCAGGAGTGTTACCGCTTTTTGGTTTAAAGGGCCCAGCTGTGGGGATTGGAGAGCACTGAGATACTGGACAGCAGCCTGGCCTTGGGTGGGGAGAAGTAGCTGATGTATGATAGGGAAGGAGCCAAAGGTGTAACTACCTCCATCTTCTTCTCCCATCCTCTGATCTCCTGCTTGTCCCTCTATTGGGTGAAACCAGAGAAAGCCAGAGAGCAAAAGGGTCCGTTGATTCAGTCCCGAACAGTCAGCCCCCTGGATAATGAAGTGGGCCGCCATAGAGGGAGAGTGGATCTTGAAGGTCAAGTGGAAAATATCCAGCATAGGTAGCTATTATCTCAGACTAAATAAAAGGCAAACAAATATGGGGAGGAAAACAAAACGCGCCACAGGGTGTCATTGTGGGGCTTTTGGTTAAGGACTTTGAAGACATAAGTATGTCTTTCTATTTCTATCATTTTGTCCTAGTAGTGTGTTAATATAAGACGCTTAATAACTGAGTGAATAAAAGTGATTTGAAAACTGTATTTAATATGGCTGAAAAATGGGTTTTACAGCCTCCTAATGAGATGAAATAGTTTCTCTTCAGGATGTTTCTTTTCTTCCCCTAAAAGAGTAACTACAACATTATCATTAGGGAGGATATGGTTTAAATTTCTCAATTGTTATGTTCTAACTTACTGTATATTCTTTATTACTACCTAAAAAAATAACCCCCAAGTTTAGGGTTCAAAAGAGTAAATATTTATTATTTCACAGATTCAGAGGGTCAGGAAGTCAGGCTTGGCTTAGCTGGGTGGTTCTGGCCCAGTGTCTAGGTTGCATGATCTGGAGCCTTGGCTGTTGCTGGAGGATTTATTTCCAAGGCTAACTCACCCTGGAAGTCTCAGTTCCTCGTCACATGGCTTCCCTATGGGGTTTCCTGAATGTCCTCAGGACATGGCCACTGGCTTCTCCCAGAGCATGTTGCAGAGGAGGTAGGGACTGAGAGGGCAAACCAGATGGAAGCTGCAATGTCATTTGGAGTCTCACCTTGGAAGTGACATACCATCACTTCTGCCATATTGTCACACAGACCTACTTGGTATAATGTGGAGGACTAACCAAGGATGTGACTACCAGGATACAGGAATTTCAGGGGGCCATTTTTGAGACTGGTTACTGGACTTACTCTACCTTATTTTCCCACAATGTCTTATTTCCATGTGTTCTTGTGTTCCTGGGTGTCTTTTTCTTTTCCAGCACTCAAGAGAGGGTACAGCAGAAGGAGAGCTGCCATTTAATTCATGGGCACAGAAAATGCCAATGAGTTTTAACAAGGGAGTGTTGGGCCGCCACTGGAGGGTGACTCTTGCATCCTAAGTGTCAGCATCACCTTCTGTCCAGAGCCTTGGTGTGTGGATAACTAAGAAAAGAGAGGAAAGTCAGCTCCTCCCTTTGTTGGTCCGGGTCTGCCAACTCCAAAAGAAATCCCTTAACTTGTACTTCTCCTTCCCTGTGACAGGGGACAGGTCTAGATGACCTCAAACTCATTGGGGTTCTGTATTTCTGTCCCCCTCCCTCAACTATGAGGATGTGAGTGAGGAGATGGGGCTCATAAGAAGTGGGATTCTCTCCCCCATCTCCAAAACGTTAGGGCTGCATTTGGCTCCAAGACTGGAAATTCCCAGTGATAAGCAGATGATAAACCTCTCCAGCTCTAGATCTTCCACATTCACACTCTCCCTCTCCTGCTTTGCTCTGGACATGGGCTGTCATACATGGATAGACAATTCTTTATCTCCAAGAGCTTAATTTTATATAGACTTTTTTCTCAACATCACATCAGTTCCATGCAAACTGAAGGCAGCTTTTCATATTTATTACATTTCTTTTCTGCTTAGAAAATTGGAATGATTCACTTTTCTCCTGCTTTTGTCTATGTTTTGAGAATACTACATAAGCCCCAAGGAATTTCAGGATTTCCAGAACCAAATGATAGGTGTTCCAAATGAGATATGAGCATCTACAAAGAATGTTGCTAGGCAGCTATTTACAAATAAAGGCATTTTTCCAACAGAAAAGAATTTAAAAGCAAATGTTATCATTAAAAGACAGATAGTTAGGGAGACTACCTTTACTGCATAAAAACTCATTACTGGATCTCATTTTTTTATAGTGCAGATAATGGTTGCTTGAAGAAGGAGAAAGGCATGTCAGGGGACTTTCATGAGGGAAAAAAAGTAAGACTGTGTGTTGGTTTGAAATGATGACTGAACAGTGATTTCATTTCACTGTAGTGCAGCAATAAATCAGTAACTCTTCTCTCACCAGTGAAATTAGAAGCTGTAGGGAATCCAGGACAGCTCGTTCCAGACCCTAATCATGCATGCTGGGAAATGCATCTGCTCAGTGCACTGAACTCAGAAAGTGTAGTAGGGCCAGCTTTTCTGTGAACTGGCTATTGAGCTTGACCATTCTTGCTTATAGTCTGTCACTTTAGGGGTTACAATCTGTAGTGCTGAGTCCTGGGACACTCCTTGGAATAGTTAGCTTTGCATGTCAGAGAGCATAAGGAAACAGCCAGTAGGGTGCTCACACTCTTTTTAGGCAAAAATAAAATTAAGAACACAATTGCAGGAAATAAAGAGATGCCATTGGTGTCATGACTTGAACTCACCTCCTGGCTTCACCACCCAATGACTGGCACCTGATCTCATTGAACCTTATAAAATGAGGAAATTGAGTTAGAAGAATGAATGGTTATTGACTTTTCCACCACCGGGAACTTATTTTTATTATATTTCCTTTTTAGACTTCATGTTTTGATAGATTTTATCTAGACTATGGCATTTATATTATAGTAATTTGTTTCACTTTTTATTGTATTTATATTTCAAAGTTTTCCATAGTTTGAGCAATAATATATATATGTAATGATTTATAAGGACATTATTAAATCCTATGGTCAAAGCCATGACTGAGCTATTAATAAGCATCTCACAGTACTGTTCCCTGCTGTGCTTCCTTTATTTTGTGTACTAAGTGTCACTCTTATCCTCTGTACAGATCCTTGGCATATAGGTAATTTTTTTTTAAAAAGAAGGAAATGGTATTGGGTGGGTAGGATCCAAATGAGGAATGTCAGATTTAAGGTTCAAGGTCATGCTTACAGTCTCTCTTTTTTTACTGTGACTACTTCATGTGTGGATTTAGGAACAACATCTGCTCTGCCTCTGATAAACCCAGCATTCCTCTGAAGACACAGAAGCCAATGAGAATGACTGATAAGTAGAAGATGGTTGATAATTACCACACTGAGTTGATCTATTTCCAGTTGAAAGCAAAATATATGCATGTGTGGCTTTACCAGAAGTATTTGCATGCTTCCACAAGTTATTAATTTTGGCTAGAAATATTATAAAACCTCTAAGTATATAGCAGAGTTTCATAATACTAGAATTCTTGTGCAACAGTGGTTGTACCGCCTTGTCATTCACTCTGTTGTGTTGTGGACAAATGGAATTTGGGGTTGGCTGGCACAGTTGGTTGGAGCAGAGTGCTAACCATATCAGAGGTTTTCTTCTGTTTATAGCCATGGGTTTCTCTGTTAATCTCTGCCAGCCTTTTGACTAATGCCTGCTACTCATCACAGGAATCCAGAGTCCTTGGTCTACCTTGATTGCCGACTCTGGCATGAATTTTAAAGAGTTTTTCTCTTAGTGTCTTGGAAAGCATGAGCTCTGTGTTTCCACTGCTTCAAACAAACGCCGTCTCTTTGTTTCCTCTCTGTTGTCACCAGGTGGGAGTTCAGTAGGGTGAGTTTATGCATTAGAAAATACTCAGATTTTCAGTCAGGGTAGTAGTTGGAAGAGGCATTGTTAGCTCTGTAGACAGGGTGCCCATGGTAGGCAGAAGAACAGACTCCCAAAGACGTCCCTGTCCTAATTCCCTGATGCTGTGAATATGTTTTGTTGCATGGCAAGGGGAAGTTAAGGTTGCAGATGTAATTCAAGTTGCTAATCAGCTCACCTTAAAACAGAGAGTATCCTGGATTATCTGAGTGGGCCCACTGTAGTCACAAGGGTCCTCGTAAGAGGAAGGCAGGAGTCCGAGAAGGAGAAGCAACAATCCTGGGAGCAGAGGTCAGAGTGGTGCAGGTGCTGCCTTCGTAGATGGAAGGAAGCTGAGAGCCAAGGAGCATGAGAAGCCTCTGGGAGATGCTAAAAGAAAACAAAAGAAAACAAAACAGATTCTCCCTTTGAGACTGGAGAAAGGAATGAAGCCCTGCCAACACCTTAGCCCATCAGACCCATTTCTGACTTCTGGCCTTCAGGACTGTAAGATAATCAATTCATGTTGTTTTAAACCACTAAGTTTGCGGTAATGTATTACTGCACTGATAGGAAACTAATACAGTGTCCAATGAAATTCACTCGTGAAATGTCCCTGTATATGCTCCCCAGCTCCACCCACCTCTCCGGTGGTTCCTCTGAGGGTCCTTTCTCCTGTGGAGCACTCCGAGGAGCAGTTGGGGTCCCACAATGAAAGGGGAAGGTGTCTGACTTATCTAGGCAGAAGAAATCACTTCTTTAACAGTTAGAAGTGATAACTCATATGTAAACCCCTGTCTTTTAACCAATTGTTGAATTGTTGTATGAATTGTGTAATAATGATTTGGAGATAAGAAATGGTGATCTCTTTAGTTTTGTGTCTCAGATTAAATCCAGCTTGGCTCTCTATTCCTGAGAGCTTTGTAAGAAGTCAGCAATTATTATTTTGGGCAGAGGGTGGGGAGAAGGGAACTCCCTCTCAGTTTTTTAGATTCTGTGAGAGACTTGGGAATTACATGGTCCAGGAAAACGGGGAGTGGGCTTGGTCATTTGCCAGGTGTAGTCTTTACAGGCCGGTGGCTCTGTCAACAACTCCATCCCTTTCTCAGGCACAGGAACCTTTGCTGAGGCTCCAAAGACATAGCACGTGGAGCTGCTTTTTCAGCCATTGATACACCTGTCTCTATCCAAGAGCCTGGCACCCAGGTGCACTGCCCTGAGGAGGCTCTGGTCTCACGAGTTCACTGGATTATATCCTTGCATTCCTCTTCCCTGTCTCAGGGGGCCCAAGCATGCTCAGGGCATTTTCCCATTTCTGTCTTCACCCTCCTGCTCTGATCTTGCTGGTCTGAGGGTTTGTAAGTAAGTCCAGGTCTAGATTTTCCAGATACCTGGTAACTTGTCTTTTTAAAGCTCAGAAACACAAAAATACTTCTATTATCTCTACAGGGTATGCAGAGAGCTTACAGCTCATAAACAAAGACTTGGCTCCTAGTCTGGTGAGAAATAGGCAGTAGGAACAGGGGAAGCTGATTCGCTTTGCGCGGAGTCTCAAGCAGCGAAAACAAAGCACAGGATACTTTCTCAGTGGGTCACCACGCTGCATGGAGTTATCAATAAGGCATCTCACCAGAATGTGAGTCCTGTGACGGCAGGATGATGTCTAACCCAATGCATAGCTTAATTGAGACACTGCAGCATATTACTGGTTGAGACAATGGAGAGAGTGAATGATGATAGCTTTTTGCCACTACACGGTGAGGAAATAAGGCGTGGGCTTCTTGCCTCTGTAAATGCTGTAAAAACAAACGGTGTTTGTCTTTGTCATTAATTCCAGTTGAGCAAATCTTCCTTTGTCTGAAATAATCCTTTTTAAGACCCCTTCCTAGATTCTTCCCTACTGGTCAGCAAATACTATAAATCAGGATGACAAAGGGAAATGGAGAGCTTCCACAAATAGCTGGATAATTCTTTCACCTTGGTGGAAGAATTAGGACCAATGCTATAGAAGAGAAGTGACTGATCTTTGGTGGCATGAGCCATAAAACATGGAATGATGACCTGGGAGGGAACTCAATAGCCATCCAATCCTGGAGAAGGCCAGTGCTTTAACAAAGGTTATTCATCAAATTAGTGGAAATTCTGGCTTTGGAGACCAGTACTCCTAGATCCCTTGGTTTCCTACCAGGTGCTTTTTTCACTGTCTCAGGAGTTTTTTGTTGTTGTTGGACATTATTTTTGTAAGTCAGTCTTTTTTTTTCTTCTTCTGGATTTACAAATTAATTTTTTTATAATTAAACCAATTATCTTCCTATATTCTTTTTTTTCTCCTAAGGCTAAGAGGTTTATTTTAAGCCTTTTTCAAAGAAATCACTATTTACAAAATTCCCATGTCTTAGGTGTTTGGTTTGCTGATTTTTGTCACTTGTGCACAGATACATGAGCAACATCCCAAGCAAGATAAAGAACATTTTCACCATTCCAAAAAATTTCCTGTGCCCCTTTCCAGTCAATTTGCCCTTCCCCCAATTGTCACAGATTAGTTTAGTCTGCTGCTGTATTTCATATAAACGGAATAGTGTATACTATCTACTTTTTTGTGCTTGGCTTCTTCTGCTTAATGCAGGGATTGGCAAAATTTTTCTACGAAGGACCAGATAGTAAATATTTGTGGCTTTGCATCTCATTTGGTCTGTCTCAACTACTCAGCTCTGCTGTTGTAGCACCAAAGCAGTCATCGTACAGAAATAAATGGGCGTGGCTCTGTTCCAATAACACATTAGTTACAACAACAGATGGCGGACTGGATTTGGCCTGTGGACTGCAGTGTGCCAATGCTTGGATTAACACACTATTTCTGATGTTTATTCATGTTGTTGCATGTATCAGTAGTCCATTCTTTTTATTACTGAGGATTAGATATGAATTTGTTACTGAGGTTATAGTATGAATATACCACAACTTCTTTATTCTTTTTCCTGCTGATGGACATTTGGGTTGTTCCAGTTTTGAGCTATTATAAATAAGGCTGCTATAAACATTCTTCTGCAAGTCTTTTGGAGAGCATGTGTTTCCTTCTCTTGAGTAAATACCTAGGAGGGGAATGCTGGGTCACAGGGTAGATCTGCGATTTGCAACCTTTTTCATCTCAGGCACACATAAACTAATTACTACAATTTTGTGGCACACCAAAATATATATTTTTTGCTGATTTGACAAAAAATAGTTAACATTTTGATTCATTCATACAGGATGGCTATTGTTGTATTGGCTGTTGTCGTTTTTAAATTTGACAATCTAAGGGAAAAGAGGCCAGTGGCCCTGACTATATAGTTCGGTACTGTATGTTTAAAGATTCTTGCACACAGCCCTGGCTGGGGAGGCTCAGTGGGTTGAGTGCCGGCCTGGGAGCCAGAGGTTACTGGTTGGATTCATAGTGAGAACACATGCCTGGGTTGCAGGCCAGCTCCCCAGGGAGGGGCGTGTGAGAGGCAACCAGTTTATGTATCTCTCACAAGTCATATTTCTCTCCCTTTTTTCTCTCTCCCTTCCCCTCTCTCTAAAAATAAATAAACAAAATCTTTAAAAAATAATAAAAATAAAAATTTTCGCACACACTGGTTGGAAATCACTGGGGTCAATGAATGTTTAAATTTAAAGAAACTGCCAAATAGCTCTTCAAAGTGGCTGTGCCACCTGACACCCCCATTAGCTCTGTAGGAGAGTGACATTGCTCCCTGTCCTTGTCAGCATTCGCTGTAGCCAGCCTTTCGATTTTTGCAGCTCTGATGGTTTTCACGTCATGGTTCTTTGAATCGTGGTCTGTGTCCTTCATGATCATCTTTCCCTTTGTCATTTCTTACATCATGTTTTAGCTCCATCTCTTTTCTTCCGTGCTTCGTTTACCCCTATATTTATAAACTTGGTTCTCTTTATTCCAGTGTCTCCCAGCTTATTCCTGATCATCAGTCTCATTTGTCCCCAGGCCTATATGACATTGTTTTGGTTCCCTTGCCCAAGCGAGGTTTCTCCAGGTCTGTCTTTACCTGAATACAGAGTCAGGACAATCCTACCAAATCAACAGCCTCCATACCACCCTCATGTACCAGTTTCTTTTTTTCTCCAAGGCCTTTTTTTTGGTAAATGCAGTGAATGTGTATCCAAGCTGAACCTGATGAGGGTATAGTCATAACCTTCTCTGGCTCCAGAAAGAGCTTTTCTCACATGCTTACAGCTCCTAGAAATTCCCTTGATACAGCATCCCCTGCACCCATCCTCCCTACCCCCACCACCCCATTAATTAGATAGACCTCAGATGCAATTTCTCTGGAACAGACATACTTATTTAAACTAATTAATATGCAAATAACCAGGAGCTGCTTCCAGAGAGAGGGTTTGGAAGACAACACAACAACAACAAAAAATAGAGAAGGATAGTCTCAATGACAAAGGCAGTTTGTAGGCAGAGGTGGCAGGGGTGGGGTGGGAGAGGTAGCAGGTGGGGGAGGATGGAGTATAGTGCGGTGAGGGCCAGGTTCACCTCCCTCACCTTTTGTACCCAAACTGACTCTTTGCATTGACCTGAATTTTAACAAGCTGAATGAGTCCTTCATTATTCTTCTTCCTTAACCTTTTTTTCACTATTTACTTTTTTTTTTTTTTTGCTCAGGTTTAAATAGCTGCTCCTTTGACTTAGGTGTGAAAGGTGATTTCAGTCTGTTCAAGTCTCTTCTCTTCCCTTCTCTCTGTTCTTTTAATTCTTAACCTTCAGTTGGCCAGTGACTCCATATTATCTGCTGGCTGCTGCTACCCAGTAGGGTATCTCTCTCTGCCTCTCTGAGGTATGTCCAGGCAATAATTGTCCCTGGCTACCTTAATATTATTTAAGAATTAGTTATTCTGTGCCTTCTAGGGAACCATTCATAGACAAATGTACACACTGCAGCCAGTCACTACTATATGCAAGCCAGCCAGGAAATGTGCTAAACCAAAACAAGGAGTTTGATGGGGAACTGAGCAAAATCTTTTCTAGAGTAAGATGGGGTAAAGGAAGAAGGAAGAAAGAATAAAAACACATTAATAAAGGTACATATAATTGAATTTCCAGACACTGGGCAAGCTGGCACAATATTTCTACATTCTGTACCTTCTGTTTTTTGGAAGAGGGCATTCTAAGACCCCTTCACCTAACAACAAATTATTTAACTCTAGAATAAGCCATGTCAGTGCACTGAGACAGACTGCCAGAAAGACAGACTGACCTAATACCATGTTTGCTGTTATTTGCCATGTTTAACACGTACAGTGAGGACATTATGGACTTGGAGTCCTAAGACTAGATTTGAATCCTAGCTTTGCTATAAAGCTGTATGTTTTTATGCTCTGGAAAAAGCCATTTAATGTCTGTTTCAGTTATCTTTCACTGTGTAACAGACTACCCTAAGGTGAGAGGCTCTGTCGGTCAGCAATCTGAGCTAAACATGGCTGGGAGGCTCTTCTGCTGGGGTTGCTTGGGCTCATTCTGTTGACAGCAGTCAGCTGGCTGCTTGCCGGAGTCTGGGTGATCTCAGATGCCCTCACTTACCTATCTGGTAGCGTTGCTGGCTGTCGGCTGTGCCCGTCTCCATATGGATTCTCATCATCCAGGAGACCGGCTCAGGCCTTCTCCCATGGTGGTCTCAGGACAACAAGGACGTGAAAGCGGAAACCATAAGGCCTCTTGAAGCCAAGGCTTGGAACTCCTACAGCGTCACTTCTGCTTCTTCTTATTGGTCGAAGTCAGTCATCAGGGACACCCAGAACCAAGGCTGTGGGGAAGTGTGCCCTGCCTCTTGATGGGAGGAACAGCAACAGCACATTGCAAAGGGAAGGGGAGGAATTTGGGGCTATATGTTGCAACCCCCCGCACTCTCTGACCCTATGTTTCTAAATCTGTAAAATGGGGCTAATTACTGCCAAACACGTTAGGATTTTCTGTTTCTTCTACTAGCTAATTTTTTCTCTTCTCTAGCATCCTCCTCTCTATCAGGTTATGTCCTAGGTCCTCTCTTTCCCCTGTCTCTATGATTTCTTCTTAAAGGTGTCTCATCTCTGCAGTCATTGGCAAATGTTTTCCGTAAAGGGCCAGATAGTAAATATTTCAGTCTTTGTGGGACATGTGATCTTTGTCACAACTACTCAACTCTGCGTCGGAGCTGCCATAGCAGACAATCTATAAATGAATCAGCAGGGCTGTGTTCCAATAAAACTGTGTTTATAAATACAGACAGTGAACTATGCCAATGACGTTGATTAACATTTATTTGCTGATGACTTTAATTCCTTTAAGTCCACTCTCAGCTGTTCCCTTCGTTGCAACAGGAGTCATTTCCAGAACTGAATTTGATCGTGTCTCTCACTTGCTTAAAACCCTCCAGTGCCTCCCTTTGGTCTTGGGGTAGAGATAAACATGGTTTGCGAGGCCCCGCGGGGTTGCACGTCACCCATTCCTCCAGCTTCCTGCTCCTCAATCTCCTTCCTCGTTCTCTAAACAACACTCTCAGGACATCTGTTGCAGATCCTTGAAATTGCTGTGCTGCACACAATTTCCCTGCCTGATGACTCCTCACACCTCTTCTTCACCTAGTTATTTTTGGTCTGTTCCGCCCTTAGCTCCCCTCACTTCCCTTATCTTCAGGGAAGTCTTCCTTAGCCCCCCAGGTAAGACCCTGGCCAAACACATTCAACCTTTTGTCACCATATGCCAGAGTTTTAAATTATTCAACAATATGCGATCAATTCGTATGATAATTGAGATTAGTTTCCAGGAAACCTTTTTTCCCTTTACTGTCCCACTGTGGGCAGGGTATGCTTGCCACCCCATTTATCTGGGGCTTGGCCGTGTGGCACAGTTTGGCTAATAGGATGTTGGTGGACATGACACGGGCCTGAACGGTGCTTGTGTGGCAGTCTTATTCTCTTGTACATCTGGGATTGTTTTGAGGAGAACGTGCACTTGGTTATTTTCTGGTCCCAGGAGGATGAGAAACATGCCCCAGCTGACTTGTCCACCAGCAAGTGTGATGACAAGCGCGTACTGTACGCCCCAGGACCTCGGGGTAGTTTGTTCGGCAGCGATAGATGACTGATGGAATTACATCAGTCTCCCCCACCCGACTGGAACATCCACAGAAAAATAAACACGTTTGCTTGGCTCACTGTTGTATTCTTATTGCATGGTACAGAAGGTGCTTAATAAATATGTGTTAAGCGAATAAATGATTAAGTGGGACGGTATATGTGGAAGCATTTAGCGTATTATGGACACATAGTTGTCATTCAGCAGATGGTGTTTTAAAATGGGTTAGCTAATGCTCAAGAGAATCTGTATCTAGTTCTCTTTTGGATCTGAAAATACTGTGAGCTTTATAACCCAGGTTTATGAGCAAGTAAAACGTCCCTAGACTTCTAATCAGCTGTGTATTGACTCTGCAATCATATTCTTTTACCCGTAGGAAATGTAAGATGATTAAGGAAAATAAAAAATAAATGCAAGTCCAGGAAGTTCTTTGCTTGTATTACTTTGTTTTCTAATTTTAAATCTTATTAGTTTAAAGTGATAATAAAAAAAAGCCATTTGGAGACAGGACAATATTGTCACATCTGGAGAAACTTAATAAGATTAGGACAAAGGCTCTATTCTCTTCGTGATGCACATGTGTGGTTCTCATTAACTTTTGTATTATCTCGAGGAAAATATTAGAAGATGTCGTGCACCATAAACATTCCACACAAAGCAGGTTAATTAATAGTTACATGTAGTATTAATGCAGGTGTTAACCATTGACTATGATGTGTTCTTTAATAGTTGGTGTCCATGGATAATTAATACTCACTAATTCCCACAGTACTTAGAAGAAAACATAAATGTAAGATCTCAGTGCACATGATTAAAAATTTTGAATAATTTCAAATAATTTTGGAAACATTCTTAAGATGTATAGATCTAATACTTTTTTGATTAGGTGAATCCTTAAAAATAAATATGTAATTTCAGTTAAACTGTTCAAAGTAAACGACTTCAAAAAAAATCACTTCCCTAACATCCTATATCTGTGAAATAATAAGTATTTGGTATTTGTATGTCTTTTCAATACCAGCGTGCCATCTTTATACTTCATACAGAATCAAACTTTCCTTTGCAGATAAAGTAGACCCCTATATAAAGAACTGTGGGGTTTTTTTTCCTCCACTCATTTTGAGTCATTCCATGCCTGTCCATTGGATTTCTAACACTGTATATTTTTAAATGTTTATGTGAAGAAAACATAATTACAAATATTAACAAGCCAAATGCATGTTTGCGTAAGTTTGTGTATGGTGTTAGAAAGCTAAATAATGATAGTGAAATGTAAATGTTTATGTACTCTGATGCAATATTTAACTCTATTGGTCTTAACATTGCCCTTTTCAAAATATTATATATTGCCATGTATAATGCAGGCTTTTTTGCCCCAATATTTGATGGAAAAATAAGGATACACATTATATATGGGTGTAATGATTACGTACCTTGGGTATAATAATGGCTATAATAATCCCGTGTATAATGCATACAAAAATGTGGGTGCTCATTATACATGGCAAAATATGTACTGTGTATGATTATTTGCCATTTGTTTAAGAGTTTCATGTGTAGTAGGCACAGGAATGCACCACTCAGATCTCCCTACAAGAAAGGAGTCTCAGCCCAGCTGTGAGGAGGGTGGTTGATGGATACCTCTAGTTGTAGTTCCCCGAGCATCCACCACAGCTTTTGCACTGACGTTCTGCTCCTCTTGGGGAAGCCCACAAATTGATGGAGTAAGTTGGTAATCCAAGGGCCTAGCTATTTCCCCCCAAAGTGGGACTTCTCTGATAAGCCATCTTTGTTTTCTGATGGGCTGAGACGTACTTCCTTCAGTCTATGCTCCTGTCTGATGGCTTTGCCTGCCCATGTGCCTCCTCTCTTTCCTTCCATGGATGCTGCTCCACAATAATCCCTTAGTTCTCCGAACTTCTCTTCAGTGTATACCTTCCAGAGAATCCATCTGGCACACTCTATGTCCCAGGACCTAAGGAACAAACACAAATAAACTTGGGATTTGACTCAAGATGACAAAGGTACAAAAATTCATCATGTATACAAATGATGATAACCATACTCTGAACTGGATAGAATTAAGTAAAGGAAAAATGAGAAATGGGAATTAGTTAATTTTCTAAGATATAAAGAAATACTGGTAATAAAGAAATCAGAATAAAATGGAGAATAGGCTTTACTAACAATCAATAGAACATACAGATAAATGCTATGCCAAATGGTTTTTTAAAAAGTAACAAACTCTTTATCATACTTGAAATATATATTATACACAGATTCTGTATTAAAAACAGGTGAAAGAACTAGACATGTAAGTCCAGGATGCTCAGAGAGTCCCAAAGAAGTTGGATCCAAGGAGGAACACACCAAGGCACATCATAATTACATTACCTGAGATTAAAATGAAGGAGAGAATCCTAGTAGCAGCAAGACATAGGGGGTCAGTCACCTACAAAGGAGTTCCCATCAGACTGTCAGCTGATTTCTCAAAAGAGATCTTGCAGGCAAGAAGGGGCTGGAAAGAAGTGTTCCAAGTCATGAAAGGCAAGGACCTACATCCAAGATTGCTCTATCCAGCAAAGCTTTCACTTAGAATGGAAGGGCAGATAAAGTGCTTCTCAGATAAGGTCAAGTTAAAGGAGTTCATCATCACCAAGCCCTTATTATATGAAATGTTAAAGGGACTTATCTAAGCAAAAGAAGATGATAAAAAAGATGAATAGTACAATGATAACAAACTCACAACTATCAACAACTGACCCTATAAAACAAAAAGAAAAACAAACTGAGCAAACAACTAGAGCTGGAACAGAATTACAGAAATGAAGATTACGTGGAGGGTCATCAGTTGGGGGATGCGGAGAATGGGGGAAAAGGTACTGGGAATAAGAAGTGTAATTGGTAGGCACAAAGTAGACAGGGGGAGGTTAAGAATAGTATAGGAAATGGAGAAGCCAAAGAACTTACATGTACAATCTATGGACATGAACTAAGGAGGGAGGAATGCTGGAGGGTAGGGGAGTTCAGGGATAAAGGGGAGGAAAAAATTTGGACAACTATAATAGCATCATCAATAAAATATACTTAAAAACAATATTTTGCTGTTGTTTGGTAAATAAGTCTCTAAATGGATATGCCTTATAAATGAATCTAAACATGTATTCAGCACTAAAAATACAACTTATAGTATCCACATGAGAAAAACTGTGTTAGTCTGTGCTATCGTAGGGGCCAGGAATATAGCCTCATTATTCTAAATTAAGTTTTTCAAGGTATTCATTAAAATGGCATTCAACCTTCAATAATGTTAAGCTTACCAAAGACCATTCCCCAGGTCACATTTTGAGAAGCACCACTATACTGAATGCACCCTGCTGAATACAATTCTGATAGCTTTAGGTGAGGAAGGGTTCAGCATGCAGTAGAAGTTCATCTCTATGCTTAACTGAAGGGGGAAAACAATGGAGAAAGAAGAGTCATGACTCTCAGTAATAATGGGAGAAAAATGAAACAAAACAAGTATGCATATGTTTGCAGTTACTTTAAATTGTTTCAAATATTTTCATACAAAACCCCTTTATTGTGATG